TAAATAAAATAAAAAGCAAAATCAAATGAATGTTAACGCATAATACACGCCCAAGCATTGCACATTACAGGTTTTTTTTTATCTATTTTAAATATGTAATAATATGGGCGCCCATTTCCATCATCAGCATCATCACCATTGCCGTCCAAATGGCACATATATTTGCAATTAACGTGGAAACTTTTTGCAAAAAGTATGCGAGCCCATAAAATGTGTATTCTCTGTGTGGAATTTCAATCTTTTGGACAATGCCATACAGTGCATTCATACAAATTTCGAAAAATGCTATTCAAATCATTTCTTTTTGTTTGTTGTTTATTTAAAATTGCACATATATTCTGCGTGAAAAATGGCGTATGAAAATTGGTGTTTATTTAATAAAAAGCAGGGTCATAGGTTTAAGCTCTTTTTCAACTGGAGAGGGTGAGAAAGAGTGAGAGAGATGACAGAAGGTAAATATATAATATATATAAAAATAAAAATAAAATAATCTGTAATATATTCAATTAGTCATTTTCGCGGCCATAATTTTATATGCAATTTTAGTCCTCAGTTTTACATTTATGTATATGCGACTTGGAGTTTTTTTCGAAAGTTCAAGCACTAATGGACGATGAGTCTGAGAGCGAAATGAGTTCGGTAATAAAATCTCCAATGGATTCAGATGTGCCAATACAGCCTTCAACATCAACGGATGCTTCAGAACATCATATTTCATTATTACTACACCACCATTTCAATCGAGAAACAGTCCAGAATATAAAAAAACAAACACGCATATATATTGTCACTCTTATCGTCATTGCTGCAACACGTTCCACAAAATACCACAAAAAATAAAATGAAAAAGCGCATCGATGCTTGACAATATTTGCTTTAAACACAAACCTTTCTGTCGCATTCAAATATCAGCCGATTATATACGTAGCTTGATGAAGCCCTGAAATGACCTAATAGGATATTATAGAATGTTCAGCTGTAGAAAATGTCATTATTTGTTCAAAACTGTAGCGTTAATAATTGTTGGATATCTTAATAAAAACTAGCTACTTGCATAACACATAAAAATGCCTAATTAAATTAAAACAGTTGCATACCTTATCTTAAAACTTCAAGTATACTTTCAAAATTCGATGAGTATTCACATATGTGCGTATGTGACAATACAAATTTTGTTTGACGATTTAGTCACTTCGCGAAGATGGTGATTTGGCCAATATCACTTGGACATGCATTCGTACAGTAAGTATATTTGCACGCGTATGAAAAAGATGAGAAACATTTTTCTCGGTACATTTCGTTGTTGGTTTTGATAAAAATTCAGTACGTTAGTGAAGTGCTCTATTGAAGACTTCAATTTGAAGTTGGACTGAGGGCATTTTACAATAGTATAACCTGCAACTCTGAATGAAGAAGAAAAACATTGATAACGACGAAAAGTTTTCTGTTATCAAGCTGATAATAGAATACAACAGCGGACAAAATAAACAGTTGTGCTTTGTTTTTTATTCGACCGGGAAATTATATACGGCAGATGATGAGACGGCCGCATAAGGTGTGAGAACAATGGAAATAAATGCCCGTTAGACAATGAAAATGGAAATATTAGAAAAAGAACCAAATCAAATGAACTGAAATCGCATGCACAAAATTACATTTGAACACCAAGTATACCATGAAAAAAAAAAAATATATGAAAGTAAACGCTGTGTGATTCAATTGGCAAATATTATAAATTCACGCGGGTACAGACGTTAGTATGTTTTTAGTCTTTTTTCTTTGCCATTTTTTTGTGTCATCTTCGGCTGTTCATTTTCTGATGTTTTCTTTGTTTCTTCCGACATTAAAATGATTCTTGCAGCAATGAGAAAAGAGCGCTTACTACAATATTTGACTATAGGAAAACAGACAGATCCCTTTCGAATGACATAAATCATCAGGCGAACATTAATACATGGAGACATGGTATTAAAACTGTGAATCTAACTACATAGTACACAATCCGTAGTGATGTAGCAGAGAAGCGTTGCCTTATATGACGGCCTAAGAAGAAAACAATAACATACAGAATATTCTGCAAAAAGTCGAATACAAATTTATGTGAGCAAAAACCAAATATACAAACAGACAGCTCAAAAGTAAAACAGCCTACTTACATGTGTTTCTTATGTAAGTAGGCTGTTTTACCTTTGCGCTGTCTGTTTGTATATTTGGTTTTTGCTCACATAAATTTGTATTCGACTTTTTGCAGAATATTCTGTATGTTATTGTTTTCTTCTTAGGCCGTCATATATAAATATAATACTGTATACATGTACGTTACACGTATGTATTTTACTTAGTACATCGTACAGAGTTTTATCTTATCCGACGCACCATCGCGCTTGATTTTTATTTTCCTTAAATTTTTCTCTCTCTTTTTTTTCTCTCCCTCTCACTCTCTTCGTTTCTCTTTATTTTTATTTCTGATTTCCTTCAGTGCTCTTCCTCTTACTCTACGCCATTGATTTTATTTCAAAACCAACCCCAGCTACAATAATTTAGGGATTTTTTCTCTTCTTTTCCTTCTCTGGCTTTACTTTACAGAGAATTTTTTTGAAACTCTATAAGTGTAAGCACGTCAAAAAATGGAATTAAATTACATATACACACACATGCATACACCAAAAACATTGAAGTTTGAGAAACGAAATAGTTCTCGTGTGTTTTTTTTTTTTTCGTGAATAAGAACTGTAGCCAAATAAACATATGTTTTTTGTGTGAATTCCATTCGATGTGCAAATTTACGATTGTGTTGTATATTTTCACCAATGTTTGCTCTTCTTTGTACAATGTACATTCATAAGAGTAGTTGTATTCATGAAAATCGAAAAAAACAAACTATTATTACAATAAAATATTGGACGGTTTTTTATTTAATTGTGATTTAAAGTGAGTTTTCGCATTATTCTCTTACAACACATCCATAGCAACAAGTCCATATTATCAAATAAAAAAAACCGATCGAGGTGAAGAACGAGTGACAAAATCGACATTTGAAACACAAACAATTTTTCTGTATGGCGTTAATAAATATTTTTACTGATTTAATGAAGCAACGTACCGAATGTACAAATTTATATTAAATATTTATTCAAATCACACGGAAAAATTATCTACCAATTATTTTCGTTACACATGTCGGTTTCGTCACTCGTTCTTCATCTCGATAGATGTTTTTTTCTTTAATTTATATAAAAAAAACTAGATTTAGGAAGCTATAGATTCAACACATCATCACACATGCATTCTAGACCAAGAGCCACTCTAACAAGTAACTTTTTTTTTTGCTTTATGTCAGAAAACTATATTGAACCATGCAGCTAGACATACACTAAACAAATAATTTTACGTCTGTCATTACAGCCACCCACTTCGCGAAATCTGCACTATTATTCGCGGATAGAAAACACATCAATTAATAAAGCGAGCTGCATGTTTGATTTTCTGGAATATATTTTTTCTTTGCTCAAAGATTCTTCGATTAAAATTTCTGCATGAAATTCCGCATTGTTTACAAAATCTGCATGAATGAATTATGTAAAAAAAACTATCAACTTTTTTGTCAGCTTTATGTCTGAAATTTTAAACATCGATTTTTTATCATAAAATAACACTAAATTATAAAAATCTGCACTTAAATACACATATTTATTGTTTTCTGCATAAACAAAATTACATGTTTGTATATATTGAAAACACTCAATATGACACATTGAACGCACTCATTTGAGCTGTCAAGCAACATTTCCATATACACAAACATGTAATTTTGTTCATGCAGAAAACAATAAATATGTGTATTTAAGTGCAGATTTTTATAATTTAGTGTTATTTTATGATAAAAAATCGATGTTTAAAATTTCAGACATAAAGCTGACAAAAAAGTTGATACTTTTTTTTACATAATTCATTCATGCAGATTTTGTAAACAATGCGGAATTTCATGCAGAAATTTTAATCGAAGAATCTTTGAGCAAAAACAAAATGTATTCCAGAAAATCAAACATGCAGCTCGCTTTATTAATTGATGTGTTTTCTATCTGCGAATAATAGTGCAGATTTCGCGAAGTGGGTGACTGTAATGACAGACGTAAAATTATTTGTTTAGTGTATGTCTAGCTGCATGGTTCAATATAGTTTTCTGACATAAAGCAAAAAAAAAAGTTACTTGTTGGAGTGGCTCTTGGTCTATTCGAATAGCTTTGAAATACAATGAAAACGTAAATTTTTGTACATTTTCTGGCTTTGAATTGGGGAAAAATCCAGTGTTTCGAATTTTACAATGCCAATTCATTCAATTATAATTACCATTAGTTAATGTAAATTGAAATTTTCAATTTATTTTTTTTTCAATTCATTGAATTGAATTTCCAATTACCATTTACATTCGAATTGATAAATGAATTGACATTTATTTCAATTGCGTGAAGTTGCAGAGATTGATGCCTTATGCGGCATTTGTGCATAGCTAATGTTAAAAGTGAGGTTAATATTTGAATGCGCACATTCAACAATAACGGTTGCTGTGTCAATAAGTTTAAAAGAAATCGCAGCAATGAAAACAAGTTTCAAATTTTAATTTTTTCAATTTGTATATTAATATTAAATTTTAAATATATATACATTTTAATTTACATTCAAAATGTTATTATAAATGAATTGACGGTAAAAAATTGAAAACAATCGAGAGTAGTAATATGGGAGCCAACTAGAATCTCTGCAACTTCACGCAATTGAAATGAATTTCAATTCATTTCTCAATTTGAATGTAAATGGTAATTGAAAATTCAATTTAATGAATTGAAAAAAATAAATTGAAAATTTCAATTTACATTAACTAATGGTAATTGATTTTCAAATAAATGAATTGAAAAAACTAATCATTATTTCAAACTCTGGAAAAATCGATGATATTTTCGAAAAAATCATTCGCACTGTTTTCGAGAAAAAAAATGGACGCCTTTTGTTTAATGACCAGAGTTTTATTAAAGAAAGCCACTACGTCCGAACGCGTTCGTTCGCAGAATGGAAATGGTTTTTCGCGTTCGTTCGCGTTCGCAAAGACCAGCACTACGAACGAACACGTTCGTTTGCAGATTAGAAATTGTGTTTCGTGTTCGTTCGCGTTCATAAAGAAGACCACTACGAACGAACTTGTTTGTTCGCAGAGTGGAAATTGATTTTCAAGTTCGTTCGTGTTCGCAAGGACAGCCACTACAAACGAACGTGTTCGTTTGCAAAGATAAATTTCGTTTCGTGTTCGTTCGTTTTCGTGACGAACGCGAACGAACACGAAAACGAGCGCTTGACACCTCTAATGCAAACATAAAACTGCAACAGCGTGTATTTCGGTGTTGTATACACGGCCATTCCTTTCTTGAGCATTTTGATACGATGATGAACGTAATCAATCCAGAGTATGCCCAGTGGTGATGGCATTCGCTGATACAATTGTCGATTATTTCGATCGTCCTGCTCCTCTTGGGTGAACTGCTTCGTCCATCGTTTTGCCTTTACATCGCGCGTCTTCTGCTTTGCCAGCCAATGGTACTTCTTACTGGACGTTTTCAAGTTGACCTGAAATGGAAAAGTGAAGAAAAAAATTATTCACGTAACTGTATCACTTTCTATTTCTCAATAATGCCAAAAATTTAAACACTCACTTCTTTCTTTGTTTCGATATTTCGACGAACTGTGGCATTCCATGTTTTCATGCCTGGATCGATTCCCAGTTCGTAAGCAAATTTTCCGCCCATGAATTGCTTTCGAAGAATATCATCATTCTGCATCTGTTGCTCGTATTGCTTTGACATGCGATACATAATCGACACAGATTCACCGTTGCTGACGATGGTATAATGGAATTCTTTGTTTTTCTTCAGTTTTCGATTGATGGTCGTTAAATCGAATACTTGATTCCAATAGAATTCTTTGTTCTGGCGAATGTAACTTTCGGTTGCTTGTCTACCATCAACTTGTGGAAGTTGTTTCGATTCGGCCAGCATTCGATAGAAGACATCATTGCACATGAACACTGCCTTTCGTTGATAATCAGGCAATGGAACAACCGAGAGATTTTTGATATTTGGTATCTTCACATTGTTATCTTGCGCCCAATTGTGCCACTCATCGATTTCTGTCTGCATAACGAGCCACATTGCAGTTGCTTTGAACCAATAATCGCCTTTTGAAAAATCCTTGATGTTGTGATCATTGGTTGGGCCACCAACTTCTCGCACAATTGCAGTAACCATGCCAGTAAGTAATGTTCGCTTGTGTCGTTTGAAATCTGCATTTTGATGAGTGTCACGGATCGCATTGTAGCCTCGAATCATCAAATCGACTGCATTGTCAATGTCCTTCTTGTCGAATTTCCAACCGGTAGACACTGCGTTGAATTGCCACGCTCGCATTCGCAGATAATTTTTCAACTTCTTCTTGCAGTGTGTCTTTTGACCGGTTTTCAAGCATCGCGTGTGATTTTGGCAAAGCGTTTTAAAATGATTACCAAAATAATCGTTCTTGGGCCAGGCGAAATTATTTTCTGGACTGAGCTCTTCGACAAACTGACGGAAATGTGGCTCCATATTCTCACCTTCTTTGTTTTTTTGCAAGACGGCATAGAAACATTGCTCAATCACTTCTTCGCCACGATTCTTTTCAACGAGCTGTCCTTTCTTCTTTCCTTTTTTGGCCGGATACGTTCGGTTTTTAAAAAACTCCCACTGTCGATTCATTTGTGCCGATTTCACTTTATCCAAGAAAAGTAATGATGCCAAAACGGTGATTTTCGTTGACATTATGCTTTTCTGTTCGATCCACGGTTTGACAATGTGATTGAACTCTGGTCGTAAAATTGTGTTGAGGCGCATTTTAATCGCGAACAATCCATTATCGTTTACATCATCATCAGCATCCTTTTCTTTTTGCGCATTCGTTTGAAATTTGTATCGCTTTTTTCTTGGCGCTGTAGCAGCCGTAGTTTCACCAGTCGTTGACATGTTGAACTAAAACGAAATAAAAAAAAAACACACGCGCAATTTAGAACACAAATAAAATGACAAATATATTTTCTGCACTGTGTAATTTTTAAATGAATTGAATCAATAGGAAGCACTGAATATATGGGGACAAAACTGACACTTGATGTTACCTGATTGAATGTTAAGCGTGAAGTGATTCAAAATCGACAAATTGAGTGATATTAACTCTTTTGAATGCAACATATAAATGCAAACCACACCAACACGGTCCAAAGTTAAATCGAAATATTTGCAGTTTCAGCTTGTGAATGTTTTGTTATTATCAAAACTAAACAAAATCAAACACAAAATTCACCGCAAATATCTCGTTTGAAAACAATCGGTTGACAATAATTCCAATAGAAAACCGCCAACAGCGAAAAATAAACTTCTTTGAAAGCAAGAAACAAATATAGCATACACTGACACAATCCAAAAATATGTTTTAGCACTTTTATCAATCGAATCCAATGAAATTATGACGATGCAAATTCAAATAAAAAAAACATTGATTCTGACAAGTTTCAACACGATCGTTTCATTTGAACCAACACACTTCTCCACATTCCGATGGTTCTGTGTCGAAAGCATTCTTATACTGCACACATTTTTTGTTTATAAAGCGTTTGAATAAGAATGTATGGTACGGAACCAATAAACGGAATCACAGTTTGTATGTAAACACTTAAGAGCAAAAGAAACGGAATGATTATTATTATTAGCCTATCGCGATCAATATAAATGTGTATGTGTTGTATGGACTGCTTGGTTCAATTCATAAAATGATTTTACAGGCCAAAAAAACGGCTGACACAGCGAACAACACGATTCTGAAAATGCGTTGAATATAAATACTTTCTTTTGTTTATTTATCGAATTCTAAAGAATCGCAACAATATTCTATCAAAGCGAACAGTGTCGATATACGTGCAAACAGCAAAGAGAATTGTACTTCAAATTCTAATCAACTATATTTTCAGATATGTTTTCGTTTCGGGAAGTGCTAAAATCAATCGCTTCGTTATATGAATGCCATTTACTAACATAGAATTTTGCCTTCTTTGAATTAAGAAATACCATTTTTTTATTTGCTGATACGGGAAACACTCTAACATACATACACATTCACGTGTGGATAACATATTTTTTTCAGATTTTGGATTTGTCCAGTTCAACGGGATGGATTGATTTCTTCAAGCCACCAACATTTAATAAAAATGGCTCACATTTTGTTTATATAACGCCACAATTTCAAAAGGATGCTAACGATTCATATCAACATTTGACGCTTGTTTCACTTGAAACAGGAAAGCAAACAATTCTAACATCAGGCGAATTTAACCTTTCTACATATTTTTGAAATTAGTATATTCTGCATCATAAAACTCAGAGGAAGACGTTCGTAATAATTATTTAAAGTGTGGATCACTATGTGTGATATGTGAAATATTTTGGATTTGTTTTATTATTCAACAGCTCTGATTTGGTTTCCGCCAAAATATCATATAAATCGTATGCGTGCAAATGAAAGTTAACTAATGTATTTATTTGTATATGTGAATGATCGACTATTGATGCAAACAAATGTGAAAGAACTGAATGTTCAATTTTGTAAGCCTTGTGCATAATTTTGGCAATATCAAAAGGTTGTGATATACTTTAAATAGGAAAATTTACAATTTATTTTTGCAAAATATTGTAAATAATCGAATGTTTTGGAGTCATAGATATTTCGCGTGACAGCTGAGTGCTTAAATTTGTAAACAATTCATTCATTTGTGTTCTCTACACAAAGCCATAACGCCGAAACGTCAAAACACACTAACTCATGGACAATCCAATATTCATATTCTGTGTGTACATATGATGAAAAATGGATGTAGTTGTGTGCGCCTGTAGTTGAACTTATACACAAGACCGGCATATTTACATCACAGACACATTTTCTCTTACACATATAAACACCTATAGTATACGCATACTCCATTTAAATCCGTCTTTGAAATGATATGTCTACTGAAGGCAAGTAGCTGTAGAGTAAACTGTGTGTAAAGAGAAAGGAAAACGAGTGAAAATAATTTCAGCTTGTTATACAATAAAATTTATAACGAAAAATAAAAACTCTTAATACAATAATAATTTTTGATAATATGTTAAAACGATTCAAATCAGAATCTGTGAATATATTGTAGTGAGAAGAAACGAATTTCCAGCATATAAATTTAGTAATCAGTCGATTTCGTTCTGTGTATTGTTCGCCTACCTGCCATCTCGTTTGACGTATTGGTTGTTGCCGTGCATATGTATAACAATTTTCAATATGGCCGCCTAACAATGTCAGAACGTCGCGATTTTATAATTTCTTTCGCGATAGTTTTATTATCGAAATGGATCATAAAAAATCACCAATTCGTCGCCAAAAACGTCAATCGAAAGTGTTAGAGGATAATTTTTGGGATTGTAGTGTTTGTACTTATCGAAATTCGGCTGAAGCCTTCAAGTGTTTAATGTGTGACGTACGAAAAGGTTGGTATTTTGATCGCAATGCAATTTCACACAAATGTTTACTTCGGTTTCAATGTTCACATTCTCAGCAATAAAATGTTTCTAATGAATGTTTTAAGTGTTGTGGACAAAAGAATGAGGAAAATTCAATGTTTTGTTTTTGCATAGAAATTCTATGCAACGAAAATTGCTATTGTTATTATTTTTTGTATTCATTATGTTGTTGACAGCAATGACAAAATGACAAAAAAAAGAGTCATTGCTCTCTGCTGATATGTTTTCATCGAACTATTTTGAATTTGGTGAAAACACGTAGCTGTTGGAATTGGTTGCATTTTCCAGTGAAACAAATTCCAAAGTGAGCTGAATAGTTAACTGAAAACTTAACGTTTAAATTTTCTTTCTTCGCTTCACATACAAGAATACATACTTTGACTTCATTTTATATACATTACAAGAGAAAATATGATCTATTGAAATATAATAACAAAATGAATTATATTAAGTGCATTCTTTTCTTTTTTGATAATTTTTTAACATCTGTCTTACTTTCTTTTTTCTTTTACGTCTGCACAATTTTAGGTACATCGACGCGAAAACCTCGCCTTAATTCGGCCTTAGTAGCTCAACAAGCCGGAGCTTCGGGTGTTCCAAATGGCACAAGTACAACAAATCCAAAGCCACCAAAAATGTCCAGATCGAAAACAAAACATAAAAAGTATCCAGCTCGTTTAACGAACGTCGATCGCTCCTCAGCTCAAACGCGTGAAGTTACAGTTAATTCTGTGACGGTGGTTATAACAGAATACAAGCCAAAACAAATGACATCGGCCACCTCACGACGAGAATCGAGTGAGCAAAGCTATAGTGAAAGCAATGATTCGCGCAGTTAGAACTGAAATGATCAAATAAAAAAGAAAGAAAACATACATCAACATATACAGTGAATAATTTAATGATAAATAAAATTTTAAAAAGTAAAAAAAAAATATCTCGAAAAGCATAGAAATAATCACCATTTAAATATAAAAATTCAACGAGGCACACTAAACATTGCACACTGTGCACTTTTGTTGGTTAAATATATTATTATTATTATTATTATTATTGGTGTTAACGGCATTAATATAGAACAAGAACAAATGACATGGATATGGACATGAAACATCCAGCAATGGTACTGCTTACCAAAAATAAAATGGTGATACTTCTCGCGGTGCATTTATATTTAACGAACAAAACATACAAATCTGATATATTACATGTACCATCAATTGACGATATTTTGCAGAAAGTATCACATACGCGTCTCATTTTATTTTCATACTTTTTGTTATACGCTGTGAACAAGTGGGCGAGCAAATGCGTCACTTTAACCAATATTCCACTATTATGAGAAGAAACTGAGATCAGTAAACCGGGACGTTTACGTGGACAATTAAATTGGATGAATAATATCATTCTATATGAAGAGGAAATTAAAATATCGGCAAACGATTGCTAAAATGAGAGGATACTAAAGCCGAAGTAGAAGCAAAGAAGAGAAATGTTGCGTGATAAAATTTAACTATAGGACATTGTAATAAAAAACAATTAGATATGCAAAAAATATGGACAAAAGAGTCTTATAATTATGGGAGTGGAACACTTTTTTTTAAATCAATATAAATTATATCGAAGGAATATGTGAAAGAAACTTAACACATTATTTGGATTACATAAATTTATTAGTATACACATACATCATTGAGGCGAAAATCTGATCTATATTTCACAAAACTCAATTCAATAACATGTACTTTTAATAAATACTTTCATTTGAAATCCAAAACAATTGATTCATTCGAGATTTATATGTTTTCCAAATGCTTGTTCATTGTACTTAAGGGAAAAAAATTAAAACATTTTAAGATAATGCGTGAATGCATGCAGTTTCATCAAACAATAGCATGCAATCATGTACATGTAAAAAAAGACTCAACATTCAAAGTTTCTTTTATTATTTTTTTTATATTAGTACACTATACGTTAATTTATTTTTTTAAATAATAATAAACCAAATCAAATTGCATATTTTTTCTTACAATTTTAATTAGAATATTTTGATAAATTTGTAACTGCCAACAATGTTAAAATAACCATCGAACCAATAGCAAATATACATCAGTCAAAATGTAGAGACCAGAAGAATTGTCCTTTTTATTTAATAGGATATAATGCACATTGCACATACTTCAAATGGCATAATTACAAAGAAAATAAAAATCGCATAATTTTTAATTAAAATTATCAAAAATGGAAAATTGTTCAAGCAAATTATTCTTATTTATTTTTTAGCGAAAGAGAAAAAAGGTTCTATTAGTATTTGAACTATGTTCGATAAGGGAATTTTTCTTCTTCAATCATTATTATTGAATGTCTACGATGGAGATCAATTGGTGAGTTTAATAGGTCATGCACCAAATATGTTTGCACATGAATTCGATGAATTTTGCTAAAGTTTGGAAACTCAGGTGTTGAGTGTGTCTTTTTTTCTCCACTTTTTTATGAGTTCAGTTGGGTCATCATTGTATTTCAAGTTTGTTTTTTATTCTATTTTCCTTGTAATTTTAACACTGATTAAATATGTATTTCATTGGTTTTTCTTTCTCACCACATTTTCTTCTTGCGGTACCAGAAGTACCAATAGGAACCTGTCCTATGAGAAGAATAGGAATATACAAAAATACAATACTACAATCTCTAATTTTATCGAATTGTTTACTGTAGTAGTTTTGTATTTTGTTCACTACGAAAACGACATTTTATTTTATTTTTTTATACATTCGTATTCATTATGAAAGATTAAAATTAATATCGTTTTGAGAACACATGAAAAAGGATTAGTTTCATCTAAGAAAACAGTGCTTTTCGCCAGTGGCTTATGTATATATGTTTTTGTTGCTATGTCCGCTTCTACAGTTGTTGATTATAATATTATACAGGTACAAAATGTGTTTATCTCATTCGAAACGACTAACTTTTTTAAACGAAATATAAAATAACATAGTCGTCAGCTGAAAAATTTGAATACACCCAAAATAACTGGCGTCATTTTCTACTTTTAAATCTTCTTTCGTAAACAAGTGAATTCTGCCACGGTGTAGAAATAAAAAGACTATATTATATTTAAAGCAATTGTAAAAGGTCGAATTCTATTCCTTGAAAAAGAAAGTCTTTCAAACAAAACTTTCATTTAACATGAAATTTTGTAGTTGTAACACATCTAATGTAAAGATATCTATGAACCTGTCAATATTCACTTCATTGTTTGAAGTGAATATTTTGAAGTAAAAATTGTATATTGAAAATGTATCTACCCAAGCGACATACATTCGTTACTCCGTAATGCTATGGCATGCGAATCAAAGTATGCGAAATAAGAATAACGAATTTGCATGCGTATTATATATGTATGCATCATGCGGCAGCGTACGCACGCTTGAATCCGGATCTTCCGGAGATCTTACGCATCTATCCTATCCAAAAATCATTGTATGCGAATATGTGTTTTCACACAATATAGTAACCCTATCGAATTCGCAGGAGCTCTCTGTATAAACATATACTATGTTATATACGGTAGACTGTTAATGGGGTTCAATCACATTTCTGCTGATGCTTTAGTTGCTATTCATGCTGTTTTATCTACAGTCTGGTTCTAGTTGCTGAGAATGCGTCTTTTCCGAATGCCTTTTACTTCGATCGAGTTAAATTCGAATGTGCTACAGTAATTTTGTTGTAGTAACGCTGCCACCCGACTCCCTAAATTGTTCGCTGGTCCATACAATGTTTTGTATTCTCTGTGTTACAATAGATAACACATATGTATGGCATACACTTTTGCTCCCAAAAGACACATTATTCATTTGAGTTGGTGCTGTTGCTGCTGCCGTCACTACCACCATTACCGTTGTTTTTATTCTTGCTGCAGATTTGAAATTTTTAATACATTCACGTAAATGATATTTGTTCACTCTTATTTTTTACATCATTGAGAATGCCAAATTTTTCGTATTATGTGCATAAGGACTCATTTCCATACATAAAAAATGTAAACAATAAAAAAATAAATTAATATAAGAGAACATGTGTGAGAATCAAACGAAATGCACGTACCTAAACACAACATTAAATACGGTGCATCTTATATGATTTGCCTTCGATCGCGATAAATGTCTCATCAATCCCACTTAAATATCTGAAGAAACTATTAATCCTTTCTCAAAACATATCACAACTGCACATCGATTCTGATAATATTGTTTACATGGGAAAGAAGCATAAAGTCATATCAACTGTTGAAATGAATGATTGTTAACAAATTGACATTTATCGCTTTATAATAAAGGCATTATGAGATAAAAAAGAATATATGTAAGTGTGTCAGTCAGTCGGACCAATTTTTGTTTTTATTTTTTTTTTTGTTTTACGAGCGAAACAATATGCAAAAACAATCCAAACTTTAGATTGTCTATTTTATTTTTACTATGTCTGAAATACATTCAATTTTCAACTTCCAACTTTCATGGTATAGTTTATGATGGTGAATTAAATGTTTTTTCGCTCTGTCTATTCTTTTATTTCTTTGATTCAGTGAAGACCCTCACTGATGTTGAAAAGAATTTGTTGTTTTTGTTTTGTATGCGAACCTTCCAATTTTTTTTCTTTATACATAGAAAAAGGCAAATGATGAAGTGATTGAAAAAAAGTGCAAGCAAATATAAACGGAAAAGTTTTATAACTTTACTTTTTCTCTTGGGTTTTTCTTTTAGCTACGGTGCCTTCTGTTGTTATTGTTTTGAATTTGATTGTCCTATTAAGTTTATCATGACTTGCTTAGATAGCGCGGGCGTTTACAAATTTATATGTTGATTTCAATTCTTATTTTGTTTACATTCAACACTTTCCTTTGCTGTATAAGGACAAAAAACTAATCAATACATTTTGATAAATATTTACTGTGAAGAACAATAAAATAAAACTATTTGGGTGTCTTCGCAGTCCCCAAACAGCCATCAACCAATTCTCAAAATAATTGTATAAACTATATATATTTTGAAAAAAAAATATGCTATTAATTTTTCTAAAAAATGGACTGTAATGCCAATATTTTGTAAAAATAATGAACTCGAAATAGAACTTTATTCCATATATCATATGATATCAATTCCAATTCAGAGCCGGTGACGACGAGTATCATTGGATGAGGGATAGACTGTGTAAAAACAAACATAAATCGCTCCAAGCTTCATTTTCTTAATGAGGAATTTTTAATTTAATTTCTTCCCCTGTTTACATTAGTTCGATTCCATTTTACTTTGCTCCATGTGCTTTGATGCCAGTATATGAGCTCGTTGCAAAAAATGAGGGAACCGTGTTCGGTGCGTCGAACCTTCTCTTTATAATGGTTTCACACCTCTCTTTCACAGAGAGAAGAAATTGCGAAGAGGCACAACGTCAAAAGTAATAGTACTAAAACAAAAACAATGACAAAAAATAAAAAAGAACCGAAGATACTATTTGACTACTCATTCCCCACAGCAATGGATTATTAGATTTTTCTACTGCACTCGGCTGAAAAGTTTTGATATTGCTGCTGATGCGTGTATTTTAGTAAAACGACATTGCATCGATATAAACACTAAACAGTGCCCTTTATCCGAAATATATATATTTTTTAAACTAAGCTTGTGGAAATACAAGGGAGTGAGTGAGTGTACGATGCCTAACATCACATTTAAAAGTCCAAGCGAAAGGAATATTTTACACTTTTACTCAAAACTCAACAATAGATGCCGTCAATCACACAATTTCTATAAGAATATCAAACAGAATAACAACATCATCATTAATGAGGCGAATAAAATTTAAGCTGTGTAACCATGGCCTGGAAATGCCTATGTAATTTACATATAAACGAGTGAGACTCAAACATGTTCTTCTTTTTCCATCAAATATACCAGTGGCGCCACCAATTTTACATATAAGCGCATACAAAATTTTCAATATGGCTGCGCCCATGAGAGAGAAAATTTCGTCTCATTCATTTCCGCCCCATGTGTGTAACTATTACACACCGTAAGCAGCAACAAAAAATTGCATTAATATTATCAAATAGTATTTAAGGTGAAATTCAATCAAACATCAGTTTTGTCAAATAATTCACATAAGTAAGTTGCATTTTGTAAGCACATTGATTATTGACAATTCAAGAATGTCGTTTATTGACAATGCCTAGCATATTGATGCACAAGACATCAATCAAGTCGCAATCAAATGAATCAAAGGTGAACGCCGTATCGTGTAGATGGACACCCTTTTTCTAAATTGGGATGACTTTTGGAGACTAATAATTGAAAATCGACAAATAAAACGTAAGAAGAAGAGAAAGAAACGAGTCAAATATGTAACGAATTTTCCAGGCAAAACCATCCAAAATGAAACCAATTTGGAAATCTGCATCCAGTTTTTCAATGGATCAGTTCAACATAATGATATAAAACATTTCTTTCGGGTGTGAAACATTTTTCTTCTAAATTATTTTGTTCAAGTCTTATCTTCTGAACATTTGAGTGTAGAAATTGGCAATATTGAAAGTATTGTACTGTACTTTTTACTACTCACCAAATTTTGGACCGTTTATGGATTATTTTATGTACAGGGTATTTAATGTGGCATTATATATCTCTTGCATATTCTATGGCCATAAATACATATCAAACTAATAATGAAGGAAATGGCTTAAGGCTATATAACGCTACGTTCAGACAATTAAAACCTGTATTTAAATTGACAAGAAAAAAATACTATAGAGATAGCCGTACGTAGAGGCCGTCAACGCCAAAAGTGGCAGGATCTAACAAAAGTTCATTTAAAACATCAATTGGTGGGCCATTTTATTTATTGACCGAACTTTGGCACAATCAGAGATACACAAAACCTTCCGTCCAAAACTTTCTGATTGAAATGTGAGTACGTTAAAAAAATCAAAATCAGTCTAATATACTTTGTTCGCCTCAAAATCCGCCGAGACGTCTCAGGAGCATCCAAAATCATTCTATTTCGTTAAAAAAAACTCTTTTATAGAAATATGTATTCGCTAGCTATTCTCTTTCACACGAAGGAAATCTAAGACACGTTCCATTCTCAGTCAAGTCTAGTACAGCTGAAGCCAAAACAACACTATGCTTTCTTTTCCATCGTTGTCTTTGTTGGCTGGCT